GCATTTTGTGATAGCATGAACAAAGGTTCCAATTTCCCCCATCTTTGCCAATGTTTGTTATTTTCCATTTAGCTTATTATAGCCACCCCAGTGGTTTCCTATGGGTTTGATTTGCATTTCCCCAAGGAATAGTAAGTTGAGCATCTTTTTGTGTGCTTATTAGCCATTTGTATATATTGTTTAGAAAAATGTTTATTTAGATACTTTGCCCATTTTTAAACATAGTTATCTTTCTGTTATTGAGTTTTAGAAGTTCTTTATAATGGAAAATATACCCTTATCAGATACATGATTTGCAATTTTTCCTTTCATTCTGTAGTTTATCTTTTTACTTAACAGTATCCTTTGATGCACAAGTTTTTAATTTTGAAAAATTAAATTTTTTTCTTTTGTTGTTCATGCTTTTATTGTCATATTTAAGAATATATTGCCAAATCCAAGGTCATGAACATTTACCCCTATGTTTTCTTCAGAGTTTTATAGTAGTTCTCATCTTTCTGTTTAGGTCTTTGATCTATTTTGAGCTAGTTCTTGTATATGGTGTGTGAAAATGCTCCAACTTTATTCTCTTATATATGGATATCCATGTGTCCTAGCACCATTTGTTGAAGAGACTATTCTTTACCCACTGAATTGTTTTGTCACATTTGTTGAATATCAATTGGCCAAATAAACCCATGGGTTTATTTCTAGACTCTCAATTCGATTCCATTGATCTATGTCTATCTTTATGCCAGTCCTACATTGCTTTGATTACTGTAGCTTTGTAAAAAGTTCTGAAATTGGCAATTGTGAGCCTTCCAACTTTGTTCTTCTGTTTCAATATTGTTTGGCTATTCAGGGTCCCTTGTAATTATAGGGATTACACTAATTCTGTGGAATATATGGGTAGTATTGCCATCTTAATAATATTAAATCATCCAATTCATGAACAAGATATGTTTTTTCATTTATTTATGTCTTCTTTCCTTTCTTTCATCAGTGTTTTGTGATTTTCAGTGTACAAGTCCTTCACCTTCTTGTTTTATTTCTACATATTTTATTCTTTTAGATGCAATTGTAAATTATACTGTTCTCTTAATTCTCTTTTCAGATTGCTCATGGCTAGGGTAAATAATAATTTCTATATGTTTTTACCTGCAATTATTCTGAATTCCTTTATTAGCTTTCTTGTGGATTCTTTAGGATTTTCTTTATGTAGGACCATTTCATTTCTGAACATAGATCATTTTTACTTCTTCCTTTCCAGTTTGTATGCCTAATATTTCTTTTTCTTGTGTAATTGCTCTGGCTAGAACTTCCAATACAGTGTTAAATAACAGTGGGCATCTTTGTCTTGTTCTTGATCTTAGAGAGAAAGATTTCAGTCTTTGACCATTGAATAGGATGTTAGCTATGGGCTTTTTATAAATGCCCTTTATCATTAGGCATTTATTAACAATAGAGGAAGTTCTTTCTATTCCCATTCCTAGAATATTTCTAGAATTCCTATTTCTAGTCCCAGAATAGTGCTTTTATCATGAAAGGGTGTAAGTTTTGTTAAATGCCTTTCTGCATCATTTGAAATGATTATGTTTTTTTCCCTCTTAATTCTATTAAGCTATATAATATCAATTGATTTTTGTAGGATGAACAACCCTTGCATTCCTGGGCTAAATCCCAGTTGCTCATGGTGTACGTCCTTTTAATATGCTGTTGGATTCAGCTTGCTAGTATTTTGTTGAGAATTTCTGTATCAATATTCATAAGGGATATTGGTCTATAGTTTTATTTTCCAGGGGTGTCTTTGCCTAACTTTGGTATCAGAGTAATTTTGGTCTCACAGAATGAGTTAGGAAGTATTCCCTTCTCTTTTTTTTTGAAAGAGTTTGCAAAGGATTAATTCTTCTTTTAGTGTTTAGTAGACTTCACCAGTGAAGCCATCTGCCCCTGGAGTTTTCTTTGTTGGGAGGTTTTTAGTTACTGATGGAATCTCTTTGTCATAGGTCTGTTAAGTTTTTATTTCTTCCTGCATCAGTTTTGGTAATTTGTGTGTTTCTAGCAATTTGCCCATCCCATCCAGGTTATCTAATTTGCAGGTGTACAATTATTCATAGTATTCTCTTATATCCTTATGTCCTTATATTTCTGTAAGGTGTATAAGTAATGTCCCCACTTTCATTTCTGATATTTTTATTTTTGAATCCTCTTTTTTTCTTAGTCAGTTTAAGTAAAGGTTTGTCAGTTTTGTTGATCTAGTCAACGAAAACACCTTTTGGTTTCAATAGTTCTGTTTTTTCCGTTTTTTATTTATCTTCTCAATAATCTTTATCATTTCTTTCTTTCTACAAAACCATGGGTTTAATTTGTTCTTCATTTTCTAGGTCCTTAAAATCAGGTTAGTAATTTGAGATCTTTCCTCTTTTTCAATGCAGGTATTTTCAATTATGAATTTTCCTCTCAGCATTGCTCTCACTGCATCCCATAAGTTTTCATTTATCTCAAAATATTTTATAATTTCTTGTAAAATCTTGATTCTCCTCGTTGTTAGAAGTTATTTTTTAAATTCCACATATTTGTGAATTTTCTACTTTCCTTACACTATTGATTTCTAATTTCATTTCATTGTGACCACAAAAGATGCTTTGTATGATTTCAGTCTTCTTAAACTTACTGAAATTTTGGTTTTTGGCCTAACTTCAGTGTTCTACCCTAGAGAATGTTCCATGTCCTCTTGAGAAAAATGGATATTCTCCTCTTTTGGATGAAGTGTTCTATATATGTCTGTTAGGTCAAGATGGTTTATACTGTTGTTGAAGTCTTCCATTTCCTTATTGATCTTCTGTCTAGATACTATCCATTAATGAAAGAGGATTATTGAAGTCTCCAGCTATTATTGTAGATTTGTCTGTTTCTCTCTTTAGTTCTGCTAATGTTTGCATCATATATGTGGGGGCTCTGTGTTAGATGGTTATAACTTTTATCTTAATGAATCATATCGATATGTAATATCCTTATTTATCTCTTGTAACAATTTTTGACTTAAAGTCTATTTTGTCTGATACTAATATGGCCACCCAGCTCTCTTTTGGTCACTACCTGCATGGATATCATTCTTTTTCCTTTCATGTTCAATCTGTTTGTGTCTTTGGATATAAAGTGGGTTTTTTGTAGACAGCATATAAAATAGAATGTTTTTTCAACTATTCTGCCAATCTCTATCTTTTAATTGGTAAGTTTATTTACCTTTAAAGAAATTACTGCTTAAAGCAGCACTAACTCCTTACATTTTGCTGTTTGTTTTCTATAAGTCTTATAACTTTGTATTCCTGAATTCTTTCCATACTGCCCTCTGTTGTGCTTGATTTTTTTTCTGGTATATTTTGATTCCCCTTTTGTTTCCTTTTCTGGATATTTTTTAGTTATCTTCTTACTGGTTACCCTTGTGATTAAACTTAACATCTCAAAATCTTTAAAAATCTAGTTTGAATTGATATCAATTTAGCTTCAATAATGTATTAGGTTCTGTGGAGAACCACAGAAACAACCAATAAAATATACATATATATATATATATATATACACACAGAGATTTACTTTAAGGGATTAGTTCACATGACTGTGGAGGCCAACAAATCCAAAATCTTCAGGGTAGGTTAATTAAGATTCATTAAGCGCTTCCTTGGTTGAATTAAGTATTTGATTAAAACCCAGAGTTCTATGAAAGCTGATCTGTCATTTTTGCCAGCTTATTGGTTGTTTCAGTGGAGGGACAGGTTCTCTGCCTACCTCTGCCATTTTCTATGATATTACTACTTAGATACATTTTTTAAGTTTCAATTTTGAAAATATTGTAGATTCACAGGAAGCTGCCAATATAATACAGGAATGTCCTGAGTACCCTTCAGCCACTTTCCCCCTGTAACATCTTACATAATTATAGTACAGCATCCAAATAGAAAGTTAGCATGTGCAATGGGGTACAATGAATTATAAAAGATCACTTCAAACAAGGCTTAGCCATATGAAATTTCACAGCATCAGGGATAAAGAGATGTTACAAGCTTTCAGAGAGAAAAAAGTCATATACAGAGAACCAAGGATCTGAGTGAAAAACATGGTGGAATGCCTTCAAAATTCTAAAAGTATTTTTTATCTCTAGAATTATATGTCCAGCCAAAGCTGTGAGCAAATTATGAGAATAGAAAAGGCATTTTCAGATGCACCATGTCATAGAAGCCACTACGTGAAGTCCTTCCCCATCTTGTGAGAAGAAAGAGGAAGGCTGGGAATCCGGGAAACAAAGCTGGAGGAAAGAAATGCTGAGGAAATGCCCAGAAATACCTAGGAAAGATGGGGTGACCACATGCACCTGCTCGGTCAGGGAGCAGTGAGACCCAGCTTCCACAAAGAAGGGACACCAGCAAGGGGCGTGCTTCCTGACAGGGGTGACCTGTGGAAATGATGTTCCAGGTGCCCGAGTGAGTGATTAGCGTGGAAGGCCCCAGCCAGACACTTTTAAGAAATAACATTAAATAGATTAAAAGAATAAGGCAACTAATATCTTCATGGGCAAAAACGTTTAAGAAAGAAAATATAATTGTGGCTTGTTAATGAACAATAGTTGTGTTCTTTCAAAATTATGATAACTCTTTGTCTTTAAATTACAGTATGCTATGTTGGAGAAGTGGGGAGGAGAAGGTGATGTACGACAGATTGAAGGGCCCCCACCCGTAAGATGGTGAACTTCCGGCTTCTCTTCCAGGTCCTCGGATCCCAAAGGCGCCACCTGAAGACCAATCACCTCTCTCCCCCCTCCGACTCCCAGCACCTAGCCAATAGCCACCAGCCCCGTAGAAGTGACACCTCAATCAGCTCATGCCCCTTCCTATATAACCCAGCACCTTTTCCTAATAAAGCGGAATTCTCCGGTGAATTGCTGCTGTGTGTCGCTCCTTTCCTTTCACAGATAAAATAATAATGGACCACAACAGGAAGTCAATAGAGAATGTCTAAAGTTGTTGAATCAAAACAGCAGAAAACGTTTATTTAGAAGTCTGGCAGGAAATGCTTGAAGCTACTCAGAGTTGAAAGAAGAGCGTGCTTTGCAGAAAAGGTAAGCGGGCTTCTTTTTGCCATAAATCTTTTTAACTCTTGTATCTTAAACTATGAAAAAAGTTTGAGAAAAATATAAATTTAATTTCACTTTGGATTAGAAGTACTATTATCAAAAAGCAATGCCTAAAAAGCGAGGTAAGGAGCAGTCCTACCCACCCTTTATGGCAGAAGCCTTCTCTACAGTTCTCACTAGAAATGCACCGAAAGAGATTTTACAGTTTACTTTTGAAAATGGGGAAACTACACGTCCAGCTGGAAGTCTTAAAGCGGAGCGGACAGCGTGCACCCTCAGGCACCTTGGCTGCTGCCGCGCCGGTGGCCGCCCTGCCACAGCTGACGCGTGGGACATGCAGTGATGAGGGCAGAGGATGGGCGGCGACAGCGTCTGACGTGACAGGCGGCGGCCAGACGTGTGTGCGGGGACTCGTGGTGACGGCTATTGGTGAAGGAGCACGTGCGGGAAACGGGAGGTGTCGGAAAAGAGAAAAGCTGTTTAATAGGATCCCGAGGAGCTGCTGCTCTGGGACAGCAGACGAGGCGCCTGGCGCGGCGGGGCGGACCTGTCCTCGAACTGCGACGTCATCCTGCCGCTGCGTAGGGCGCAGCCTCCGGAACTGCGCTCGCGAGGTCGCAGCGCGGAAGCCGGCGGAGGCGGTGACCGGCAGACCACACGCGTCTCCCGACCGGGACCGCCGGCGAACGACCGCTGAGCCTCGCGTCTGTATTCCTTTCTCTTTCCTTCCTTCATTTGGTTTTTTAGGCGAGGCGTCTGATTAAAGATTGAGGCAGTTTAGCTGTAGTTAGGAATCTGTGACAGTCCACAACTCAAAGTGGACATCACACACCCACTCTGCCCACACACACTGCTCCCCGGGGCAGGCAGCTCTCTCCACAGGGTCACCTTAGTGATGTGTCCATGGAAGAAGAGAGCCCCACTGGCATATCATGACCTTGGGCTCAAGTTGAAGGTCTCTGACAAATCTAAGCTTCAGTGACTTAAAATCAGTAAGAAGTTCTTAAAGAACCACATGGCTCTTGCTTGCTGACTGAGGCACCAAGTGTGTACAGACGTGCTGCAGCCAGACTGTGGAAAGCCGGGCCCAGGGCAACACCGCTGGGAAAATCGGCAGCGTGAGGAGTTTCAAGGCAGGAGTACAGGGGAAGCAGGAAACTCTGACTTTCCAATGAAGTATGTAGATGACTGCTGACCAATTAAGTGTCCAATCCGTTTCTGACAGCCCAGCCACTTGGTTTCCAGTCCTAGGAAACTAAGGAATGTTGGTGAAGTTCAAGAAAATGCTAGGAAAAGAATGCCGCTAAAAAGATGCCACTGAAAGAAAATGGCCAGTGGCAGTCATATGGCTGAGTGGTAGCTCACAGCAAATGAGGGAAGCCACCTTCCTCCACTCTGCGTCACTCACACAAGGGCACAGAGTATTCTTTATAAGAACATGTGCAAATATTCACAACCTACCCAAAATGAAAAATCCTCCCATTAGATCAACAGTGTAGGTCAACACTGTCTTGACCTACAAATGAAAGCCTCTTTACTAACAAGGTAAAGTTACAGGAAATGTCTAAACAGTCAAGCCTGAGAGCAGTTTACAGGAGAAGCTGAACTTCCTTCATTAGAGACCTGATAACAAATGCTCAAGGTTCCCTTGAAAATAAATCCTGTCATGAAACAAGGAGATGAATTAGGAAGAGAATGAGCCTAGCGATTTTCTTCCACTGGGAGATGCTAAGGAGCACAGGGCCGGACACACATGCAGCAGGCTATTCACACCCTCCCTGGGCACCACACACACAGTTAGCAAGCCCAGCCTCGCTACCAGGTTACCGAAGGCCGTAGTTACCACTGCTCATCGCAAGGTGCAGGTGCAGACCCCGTTAGCTCACAGCACTTTCAGAATTTTCAATTATCCACTCAATAGCAGCCCACCCCTGGAGCAACACAGAAAGATTTCAATATGGTATAAGAAATTCTGCCGCTTTCACTGCACATAGCAAGCTTAGCCTGTAATTTAAATGGCACAAAGAAAGCACTGCAGTTTTAAATGAGACACAGCAGCGACCATCATGAACAGTCCTCACTATAAACACGCAGCTCTCAAGCTCAAAATTAAGGTGGTATATATTCTGCCTAAAATTCTCATACCAGCTTGAGCTACACAGACACTGGCAACCCTCATCTGCATCCCCAGTGCAGGGGGCTGGGAAGGAAAGCCGCCCTCAGCTCCCTCAGTCAGTGCCCCCGCAATCTGCAACCCCAGGACAACCTGCCTTTCCATTTCCATGTCCACCGCCTGTCCCTGCTTCAGGCCCCTAGCTGTCCCAGGCTATCCCCAATGGATCAGGGTGCTGTCAAAGGGTAACTACTGCCAGTGGGATGCAGTGATTTTCTATCCATTCTTCAACATTGCAACTGCTGATAAACTGAAAATAAAAGGCTTTTATTTGATCTCATTGAGTTTCCCCTGACCTCATAAAAAGTCTGAGGTGGTTTTGGCCTCTCTGAGTATTCCCTTCCTCCTATAATTTTTCTTTTTCAGAAAATATTTAGGGCACCTGCCCTAAGCAGACACTGGACATGCAAAGGCAAATAAGGTGCTGTTGCCTCCCAAGAACGCTTGCAGTGTGAACACAATGCTGGCATCTCTGGGTGCTTTGGTTCCCCTACCTTCCCTAAGCTACCACCAGCAATTCTCAAATCTAGATTTTTCTTAAAATTAGGGCAGATTGGCTCTTCTATTAGTGACTAGAATAAATGCAAACCACACATGGTTTTCCACTAAGTTGTGGCTGAAGCATAATAGGAAAGGAACTACAGCATAGGCAGCATCCCACTGATTCCAGAAATAAATTATTTTAAACAAAACAAACCGGGAGAGAAAAGGGGAGGGGAGCACAGCTGCAGGGAAGACATGAGCCTATCCAGTAAGCTAGGGTAAAAAGCAGAGTCCTGCTTTGGCAGGTGACATGACCTTGAACTTGTACAAATCTTCCTCCCATGCATCCACACTCTTTCCATCAACTCTGCTGGAGAGGAGTCTCTGCCTCACTAAGGCTTAGCTCCCAATCCAGGGGGTCTCCCATCCACCTCTCACCTTAACAAATCTCACTCCCAAATCCTGCCAGAGGGGAAAGATGGAATGAGAGTAGGTGACTCCAGGGAAACTTCACAGATGGGAGGTTCAGCCAAAGCTACTTTAGGCCTATTAAATATAAACTAGAAATCCCAAATAGCCTGCCTGAAAATGTCAGTACTTTATCTTTTTGATGTGTGGGGTTTGTTTTCTTCACTGAGCCCATACTATTCCAGCACTTCAACTTGCTAGTTGGCTGTACTGTTTTTATACACTGTGTTCACTCTGCACCTTCCCCTCAGACCCGGGCCAGCCTTCCCTGCCACTGGTTTTGAATGCAACTTCGGAAAATGCTGTGGCCTTATGAGGTCAGCTAGAGACAGAGGGCCTCAGCACTCAGTAGGGCTACCTAGTCCTACTACACATTTCACTCACTTCCTCTGGCAGGTAACAGCTAGAGCATAGACAGGCCCAGAACACAGAGCCATACCTTCTGTGCATTGGATGATATTGTGTTGGCCATTAAACTTTCCAGATAGCTGCCTAGGCTGATGCCCTTCACAGTGATGATGGCTTCTTGTGTGAGCACAGTCCTATAGAAGAGCAAGAAGTAAAGGGGCTAAGAGGGAGGCTCCACAGTGCCCTGACCTTGGAGTTCAATGTGTCAGTCCAAGGAAGTGACAACTTACATTTCAGGGTTCTCTGGATGGGGTGTGTATACCAATCTCTCATTCACTGATACCAAGTTTGTGAGTGTGATCTTAAAAAAAAAAAAGAAACAATGGCTTTAGGTTCTATTTCTCTTACATTTCTTCCCACACCATGCCCCAAATTAGCACTTACTGGAACCACAGCACAAGAAACATACAGACCTAGGAGACACCATCACTTTAAGTCCTAGGGAAACTGTCCTGGCTGTTCCTTCTGGAGACTGTCACCTGCCCTCTACATCACACCCAAACCTGAGCCTGGCCTGGCCTTCATGGTGCTTTCAAACTGCCAAACCATCAGCGGTTATATGAAAGGATAATACTCTGGGGTTAGCATGCAGGTAAACAAGCTGGAAGTTTCTTGCCCACCAGTGGCAGATACTGACTTTGGGCCACTGTGTCCTGGAGCTTAATAGGACAGAGCCCCGAATCTACAGGGACCACAAAGGCAAGGTTGTATAGATCTTGTCTCCTCAAGTGCTGCTTCCTGTAAATCAACTTATTCTCCTTGTACATTTTTAATATTTTCCATTAAAGCTATTTAAAAATTGGAGCTGTACAATCGCACTGCCCCACAGAATCTTCTGTGATAACGATAACAGATGTCCTATATCCATTCTGTCTACTGTGGAAGCCACTAAACACGTACAGCTTCTAAACACTTGAAAGGTCACTGAGGAACTGCATTTTCTGTGTTATTTAATCCTAACTGATTTAAACCAAAATAGCCGCATATGGCTGCCACTTTGGGCAATGGAGCTCTAGCATTTTATTATTGTTTACCCCAATTTTCCCTCTTTTCAAAGAGCCAATTCCAATATAAAACCATTTTTTAAAATATTTAATATTTATATATATATTGCTTGGTCAAAAGCAATATAACCTCCCAGCAACTATAAACTGAAACATGTATTTTTTGCTCAGGTAATAATTTCCCACTGAAATCCTCCCCTGGGCCTCACTGTGCCAGATGAATGGGTAGTCAGGACATCTCTTTCTCCTATTGAGCACAGAGTTATCAAAAGAGTCTCATTAGTTATAGTTATTAACATTAACAATTAAACTCAGATTAGCTGTTATCATTTTATGTGCCAGGCTCCCTGTGACTTTATGCAGAAGGGCTTCCTGGAACAAGGAAAGAGGGCCACTGATAAGGGTGCTAGATGGTATACCCAGGACCATAAGCAGTTCAGAACCTAATCTTACAGCCACAATGACCTGATCTGCAGGGGCTGGGCCAAAAATGGAGAGGCCACATCTAGGCTGGGCCATTTCACCACCTCCTTGGAGGTTCAAAGGACCCCCCAACCCTGCCCTGTTTTGCCCAGAGCAGCTCTGTTTTATTAAAAACACTGGGCTTCCACACAGATGCTGAAAATCACTGTGAAAACCTCCATGATGCATTAACCCCCTTCATACCTCCTGGCAGCACCCATCCCTCAGGGCCCATGTTGTCTGCAGGTCCCCACAGCACCCTCGGCCCACTCCCAACCCCCTCCTGGGGACCCGGCCTCTCATGCAGCAGAGTCCTGCCAGCCTTTACCCTTAACTCCAAAACTGAACTTGCCTCTCTCCTGAGACCTGGTCCCCATCTGCAGCCCCTATATGCAGCCCACATTCAGCCTGCTGCCCAAAGCAGAGAGCTGAGTAAAACCGGGATCCCTTCTTTCCCTTACTCCCCAAATCAGTATGCCCAGCCCCTTCCTCTGCCTGGCAGGATCCTGCCACATCCACGTGGACAGGCCCATCTGCCTGATCTCCCTAGTCCAGGGCTCACGGCCCCAGTCCCTGCACAAAGCCCAGCCTACCTTTCCAACACATGATCTGATACCTTGCCTCCCTGCCACAAACCTGCAATGGCTCCCTCTCACCACAAAAGAGAAAGTAAACGGCTCTGTGTGCACACTCAGCTTGTGCACCTCGTTCCTGCCCTCGCTGCGCACCTCATCCCTGCCCTCGCTGCGCACCTCATCCCTCTCCATGCTAACTACCCGCTGCGCTGGTTCTCTGCCTGCCCCACAAGGTGCTTTGCTTGGCCGTGGGCCACTGTGGGGCTGCCAGGGACCTCCGCTTCCCTGTGAGCACTGTGCTCGGGCTCCTGCCCTGGCTGTGCACAGCCTCCTCTAGGCAGTCTGTTTATGCATCTGTCACATGTGGCCTTAGTCCTGCCTTCCCTGCCCACAGGCGGCCACCTAGCAGGTACCCGATGGCTGGCTGGGTGATGAACGAACAGAGGTCAGGAGGCAGACTGTGAGGAAGAGCCCCACTGTGGGTACATGCTACGGTTTCCCTCATAGGCCATTTCTGTGTATGCTGAAAATGAGATTTTACAATTAAACCATGTTCCAGCCCATGCATTTCCCCCAACATGTTCTTGGAATGTACACTAAGCCAAGGTAAGTTTTTTAAGTGAAAGAGGAATAAAGGAGGAAAACTGCTTTTCAAATTACTGCTAAAATCCACTGTGCTTCTGGAAGCAGGCCAGCAGGTATCCTGGGGAGAGGTCCTGGGTAGGTGGGGGCCCTGGGGGCCCACCCCCACCTGTCTCATCAGCCTGCTGCTTACAAGGGTATGACAAGCCATCATGATGTGCATCTTTCTAAACATTCATTACACGGGGATAAATAAATAAAATAAGGCTAAATAGATTCAGCCTTTCTATAAAGTAAAAGATGACTTCAACCAAAAGTGGGCTGGAGATAAAATTAAATGAAGACATCGCACCCTCACCAAGAAATACCAAGTGCCCTGCTCATCTTAGGCCCTTGCTTACATTGGTAGAGCAAAGCTCCATCTTCTTTTCCACCGGGTCCACAATCGAATGTTCTTTAATGTACGTCAAAGTCCTACTGGTCCCCAAAATCTAAAAAACAAAGCAAAACTACCCTAGCGATGTGTTTAAATTTTCATTTTGTGGCATCGAAAACAAAATACCCTTCCGTTTTTAATTAATGCGCTTATTTACCCAACAAATGATACAGCCAGGCTGCAGTCTGTCACGGTGCTTTTGTTGTGGCAGGCGGGAGTAAACAAGGAGAGGTGAGCGCTTGAGTAGTAACAGAACCTGGTGACGGCGGGGTGTGGGGAGGACCCCCTGTCGGGGGAGGGGCGCACCCGGAGCTCAGGTTCTGGTGGCCCGGACACCTCCTCCACTACCCACCTCCTGAAACAGCCAGAGGCCGGCAGGCCAAGTGGGGGGACGGTGGCCAGGTGCCCCGGGATGGGGTGGGGCGGTGGCCGCTGGAGATGAGCGCCGGGCAGGAGAATGTGCTCAGTTTCAGTGATGGTCCTGGCGGCTCTGGGGAGGACATTTGTCGTGGGCTTAATGTGTCCCCCAAAATTCACGTGTTGAAGGCCTGACTCAGCCCCAGCACCTGAGAATGTGACTGTATGTGGAGAGAAGGCCTTTCAAAAGGTTATTAAGTTACCATGGGGTGGTTATGGTGGGCACTAACACAATCTGAGTGGTGTCCTTATGAGGGGAGGCGGAGGACACGCCAGCACACAGGGGCAAGGCACAGCCGCTGAGGAGGCAGAGCGCCCAGTGCCACCCTCCCCGTACTGCCCTGGCCTCCTCAGAGGCAGTCAGCCCTGCGCACGCCCTGATGTTGGGCCTCAGCTCCGAAGGCACGAGGCCCCAGGCCAGGGAAGCATCTGCTGTCAGCCCCCAGTCTGTGATGTCTGGTTATGGTGGCCCTGCTTGGGGACACGAGACAGCAGGGTGACACAGGGGAGTGGGGGTCTGGGTCACATGTCGGAGATCTGTCAGGACCCTCGAGGTAGGTACTTATTATGGAGAAACAAACCGTCTCTCAGGCTTCTTCGAATCCCCAGTGGCCGCGCTAGGGGGACGCTGTCACTTCATGCAGATGGGCGGCAACTGGGGCGATGTGGGGTCAGGGTGATGAGGGGCAGAGGGGGCGATGCGGGGCAGCATCAGGGGTTGCAGCCGGCTCACCGCTCTCACAAGGCCCGGCAGCCCCCACTCCGTGCTCAGGAGGCGGTGGCTGTGCAGCCGGCCGCGGCCGTCCACGCTGCGCTCCAACACATCGACTCCCACGACACAGGGGTTCATCGGATTCGGGTACTTCCTCATGGCAGCCTTGATGACTGTGTCCCATGGGTGGCTGGTGGGAGAAACGACCACGCAACATAAGCAGGCAATCCCAGGACTTGGAACGTGCACCAGAGAGGCCTGTCCCACGGAGCGAAATGAAATCAACGTCAATGTTGTCCTGAAAAGTTTTCCCTTCGGTTTTAATTACCGGTATATTTAACGAATACATTGGAAGGGTCTGCTTCAGACCCGGGTCCTGGGCCCCAGACCCTTCCAAGTGGAGCAGGGCAGGTCAGGAGGCTTCGCTGGGCAGGCCTCGCAACAGGCGCGCATCCAGGCCTGGACCTGCGCGCGGGCTGCCCCTTGGCCCTCGAAGATGCTGGCCTCCCCTAGGGCCTGCCCCCCGGGGGCTGGGCTGAGACACTGCCCGCCCCTCTGGCTCGGGCCTTTGGGGTACCAGTGCCCCCACCCCTGCCACGCCCCAGGGCACAGCGAGGCAGAGCCTTTTTGTTTGGGGCTCTGGGCCGGTAAGACAGTTCTCCCCGTCCCCTGCCTGTCACCCACGTGGTTCCATAGGTGTTGGAACACTGGGAAACCAAGCCTATTTTTGCCTCTTGCCGGCAGTGTCACAGTGAATGAAGGCTTGGCTGTGACTTCCGGTTGGGCTCCTTGTCCTACTTGACCCCGGAGTTGGGGGGACACGGGGCTGGCCACTGTAACACAATAGCACACCTGCCTTCGGCAGATCTGGAACAGGCTCCTGCTCCCAGCTACTGATGCTCTATGGCGGAGCAACTATTTTGTTCCAACTCCTAAGCTGTCTGTCTGTGACTTCAAGTAGCCACATGTTTTTTCTGATGATAAAAAAAACTGTGTTCAAAATATTGAAAAACAAAGAAAAGTATGAAAATAAAAGCATTCACCACTCCTCAAGGTACCCAAAGATAACCATAGTCTATGTGGGAGTGGGAGTGGGAGGTTGCTCTCTCTGAGGCTTCTCCTTCCCACCCTGATCCCTTGAGGTGGGCAGTGGACACCTTTGTACCTAGTTTGTTTTCTGTTATCAGAGAGGTCCCAAGCCAGTTACACAGCTGCCCCAGTGCTTTCCAGAGCTCTGTGCTTGTTTAGGCTGGAAGCCCTATGGCTCTGCACAGGGCACGTGAACGAGTCCTGTGGGAGCCCAGTCAGAGGTGTCATCATGGCAGGTCCCGGTGGGCCTCCCCCCAGAGCACTCAGGGTCCCAGTTCTTCCTTCCTTCGGGATGTGTGCACTCCCAGGAAGCATCTGAGACTCCTACAACGATTAAGTGTGTCCTGACAACACCACCACTCTTCCAGATGTAACCAGACCTGTTTCAACAGAATGTGTAGACATGGCCCAAATTTAAGATCTAAACATAAACACATACACATACTTTTAAAATATTAAATTAGGAATATGCTCAATATATAGGTTTCACCCCTGTCTTTTATATTTAACTTACGATGAATATTTTCCCATATCATGAAACTACTTTACACTCAGTAGGGCTACCTAGTCCTACTACACATTTCACTCACTTCCTCTGGCAGGTAACAGCTAGAGCATAGACAGGCCCAGAACACAGAGCCATACCTTCTGTGCATTGGATGATATTGTGTTGGCCATTAAACTTTCCAGATAGCTGCCTAGGCTGATGCCCTTCACAGTGATGATGGCTTCTTGTGTGAGCACAGTCCTATAGAAGAGCAAGAAGTAAAGGGGCTAAGAGGGGAGGCTCCACAGTGCCCTGACCTTGGAGTTCAATGTGTCAGTCCAAGGAAGTGACAACTTACATTTCAGGGTTCTCTGGATGGGGTGTGTATACCAATCTCTCATTCACTGATACCAAGTTTGTGAGTGTGATCTTAAAAAAAAAAAAGAAACAATGGCTTTAGGTTCTATTTCTCTTACATTTCTTCCCACACCATGCCCCAAATTAGCACTTACTGGAACCACAGCACAAGAAACATACAGACCTAGGAGACACCATCACTTTAAGTCCTAGGGAAACTGTCCTGGCTGTTCCTTCTGGAGACTGTCACCTGCCCTCTACATCACACCCAAACCTGAGCCTGGCCTGGCCTTCATGGTGCTTTCAAACTGCCAAACCATCAGCGGTTATATGAAAGGATAATACTCTGGGGTTAGCATGCAGGTAAACAAGCTGGAAGTTTCTTGCCCACCAGTGGCAGATACTGACTTTGGGCCACTGTGTCCTGGAGCTTAATAGGACAGAGCCCCGAATCTACAGGGACCACAAAGGCAAGGTTGTATAGATCTTGTCTCCTCAAGTGCTGCTTCCTGTAAATCAACTTATTCTCCTTGTACATTTTTAATATTTTCCATTAAAGCTATTTAAAAATTGGAGCTGTACAATCGCACTGCCCCACAGAATCTTCTGTGATAACGATAACAGATGTCCTATATCCATTCTGTCTACTGTGGAAGCCACTAAACACGTACAGCTTCTAAACACTTGAAAGGTCACTGAGGAACTGCATTTTCTGTGTTATTTAATCCTAACTGATTTAAACCAAAATAGCCGCATATGGCTGCCACTTTGGGCAATGGAGCTCTAGCATTTTATTATTGTTTACCCCAATTTTCCCTCTTTTCAAAGAGCCAATTCCAATATAAAACCATTTTTTAAAATATTTAATATTTATATATATATTGCTTGGTCAAAAGCAATATAACCTCCCAGCAACTATAAACTGAAACATGTATTTTTTGCTCAGGTAATAATTTCCCACTGAAATCCTCCCCTGGGCCTCACTGTGCCAGATGAATGGGTAGTCAGGACATCTCTTTCTCCTATTGAGCACAGAGTTATCAAAAGAGTCTCATTAGTTATAGTTATTAACATTAACAATTAAACTCAGATTAGCTGTTATCATTTTATGTGCCAGGCTCCCTGTGACTTTATGCAGAAGGGCTTCCTGGAACAAGGAAAGAGGGCCACTGATAAGGGTGCTAGATGGTATACCCAGGACCATAAGCAGTTCAGAACCTAATCTTACAGCCACAATGACCTGATCTGCAGGGGCTGGGCCAAAAATGGAGAGGCCACATCTAGGCTGGGCCATTTCACCACCTCCTTGGAGGTTCAAAGGACCCCCCAACCCTGCCCTGTTTTGCCCAGAGCAGCTCTGTTTTATTAAAAACACTGGGCTTCCACACAGATGCTGAAAATCACTGTGAAAACCTCCATGATGCATTAACCCCCTTCATACCTCCTGGCAGCACCCATCCCTCAGGGCCCATGTTGTCTGCAGGTCCCCACAGCACCCTCGGCCCACTCCCAACCCCCTCCTGGGGACCCGGCCTCTCATGCAGCAGAGTCCTGCCAGCCTTTACCCTTAACTCCAAAACTGAACTTGCCTCTCTCCTGAGACCTGGTCCCCATCTGCAGCCCCTATATGCAGCCCACATTCAGCCTGCTGCCCAAAGCAGAGAGCTGAGTAAAACCGGGATCCCTTCTTTCCCTTACTCCCCAAATCAGTATGCCCAGCCCCTTCCTCTGCCTGGCAGGATCCTGCCACATCCACGTGGACAGGCCCATCTGCCTGATCTCCCTAGTCCAGGGCTCACGGCCCCAGTCCCTGCACAAAGCCCAGCCTACCTTTCCAACACATGATCTGATACCTTGCCTCCCTGCCACAAACCTGCAATGGCTCCCTCTCACCACAAAAGAGAAAGTAAACGGCTCTGTGTGCACACTCAGCTTGTGCACCTCGTTCCTGCCCTCGCTGCGCACCTCATCCCTGCCCTCGCTGCGCACCTCATCCCTCTCCATGCTAACTACCCGCTGCGCTGGTTCTCTGCCTGCCCCACAAGGTGCTTTGCTTGGCCGTGGGCCACTGTGGGGCTGCCAGGGACCTCCGCTTCCCTGTGAGCACTGTGCTCGGGCTCCTGCCCTGGCTGTGCACAGCCTCCTCTAGGCAGTCTGTTTATGCATCTGTCACATGTGGCCTTAGTCCTGCCTTCCCTGCCCACAGGCGGCCACCTAGCAGGTACCCGATGGCTGGCTGGGTGATGAACGAACAGAGGTCAGGAGGCAGACTGTGAGGAAGAGCCCCACTGTGGGTACATGCTACGGTTTCCCTCATAGGCCATTTCTGTGTATGCTGAAAATGAGATTTTACAATTAAACCATGTTCCAGCCCATGCATTTCCCCCAACATGTTCTTGGAATGTACACTAAGCCAAGGTAAGTTTTTTAAGTGAAAGAGGAATAAAGGAGGAAAACTGCTTTTCAAATTACTGCTAAAATCCACTGTGCTTCTGGAAGCAGGCCAGCAGGTATCCTGGGGAGAGGTCCTGGGTAGGTGGGGGCCCTGGGGGCCCACCCCCACCTGTCTCATCAGCCTGCTGCTTACAAGGGTATGACAAGCCATCATGATGTGCATCTTTCTAAACATTCATTACACGGGGATAAATAAATAAAATAAGGCTAAATAGATTCAGCCTTTCTATAAAGTAAAAGATGACTTCAACCAAAAGTGGGCTGGAGATAAAATTAAATGAAGACATCGCACCCTCACCAAGAAATACCAAGTGCCCTGCTCATCTTAGGCCCTTGCTTACATTGGTAGAGCAAAGCTCCATCTTCTTTTCCACCGGGTCCACAATCGAATGTTCTTTAATGTACGTCAAAGTCCTACTGGTCCCCAAAATCTAAAAAACAAAGCAAAACTACCCTAGCGATGTGTTTAAATTTTCATTTTGTGGCATCGAAAACAAAATACCCTTCCGTTTTTAATTAATGCGCTTATTTACCCAACAAATGATACAGCCAGGCTGCAGTCTGTCACGGTGCTTTTGTTGTGGCAGGCGGGAGTAAACAAGGAGAGGTGAGCGCTTGAGTAGTAACAGAACCTGGTGACGGCGGGGTGTGGGGAGGACCCCCTGTCGGGGGAGGGGCGCACCCGGAGCTCAGGTTCTGGTGGCCCGGACACCTCCTCCACTACCCACCTCCTGAAACAGCCAGAGGCCGGCAGGCCAAGTGGGGGGACGGTGGCCAGGTGCCCCGGGATGGGGTGGGGCGGTGGCCGCTGGAGATGAGCGCCGGGCAGGAGAATGTGCTCAGTTTCAGTGATGGTCCTGGCGGCTCTGGGGAGGACATTTGTCGTGGGCTTAATGTGTCCCCCAAAATTCACGTGTTGAAGGCCTGACTCAGCCCCAGCACCTGAGAATGTGACTGTATGTGGAGAGAAGGCCTTTCAAAAGGTTATTAAGTTACCATGGGGTGGTTATGGTGGGCACTAACACAATCTGAGTGGTGTCCTTATGAGGGGAGGCGGAGGACACGCCAGCACACAGGGGCAAGGCACAGCCGCTGAGGAGGCAGAGCGCCCAGTGCCACCCTCCCCGTACTGCCCTGGCCTCCTCAGAGGCAGTCAGCCCTGCGCACGCCCTGATGTTGGGCCTCAGCTCCGAAGGCACGAGGCCCCAGGCCAGGGAAGCATCTGCTGTCAGCCCCCAGTCTGTGATGTCTGGTTATGGTGGCCCTGCTTGGGGACACGAGACAGCAGGGTGACACAGGGGAGTGGGGGTCTGGGTCACATGTCGGAGATCTGTCAGGACCCTCGAGGTAGGTACTTATTATGGAGAAACAAACCGTCTCTCAGGCTTCTTCGAATCCCCAGTGGCCGCGCTAGGGGGACGCTGTCACTTCATGCAGATGGGCGGCAACTGGGGCGATGTGGGGTCAGGGTGATGAGGGGCAGAGGGGGCGATGCGGGGCAGCATCAGGGGTTGCAGCCGGCTCACCGCTCTCACAAGGCCCGGCAGCCCCCACTCCGTGCTCAGGAGGCGGTGGCTGTGCAGCCGGCCGCGGCCGTCCACGCTGCGCTCCAACACATCGACTCCCACGACACAGGGGTTCATCGGATTCGGGTACTTCCTCATGGCAGCCTTGATGACTGTGTCCCATGGGTGGCTGGTGGGAGAAACGACCACGCAACATAAGCAGGCAATCCCAGGACTTGGAACGTGCACCAGAGAGGCCTGTCCCACGGAGCGAAATGAAATCAACGTCAATGTTGTCCTGAAAAGTTTTCCCTTCGGTTTTAATTACCGGTATATTTAACGAATACATTGGAAGGGTCTGCTTCAGACCCGGGTCCTGGGCCCCAGACCCTTCCAAGTGGAGCAGGGCAGGTCAGGAGGCTTCGCTGGGCAGGCCTCGCAACAGGCGCGCATCCAGGCCTGGACCTGCGCGCGGGCTGCCCCTTGGCCCTCGAAGATGCTGGCCTCCCCTAGGGCCTGCCCCCCGGGGGCTGGGCTGAGACACTGCCCGCCCCTCTGGCTCGGGCCTTTGGGGTACCAGTGCCCCCACCCCTGCCACGCCCCAGGGCACAGCGAGGCAGAGCCTTTTTGTTTGGGGCTCTGGGCCGGTAAGACAGTTCTCCCCGTCCCCTGCCTGTCACCCACGTGGTTCCATAGGTGTTGGAACACTGGGAAACCAAGCCTATTTTTGCCTCTTGCCGGCAGTGTCACAGTGAATGAAGGCTTGGCTGTGACTTCCGGTTGGGCTCCTTGTCCTACTTGACCCCGGAGTTGGGGGGACACGGGGCTGGCCACTGTAACACAATAGCACACCTGCCTTCGGCAGATCTGGAACAGGCTCCTGCTCCCAGCTACTGATGCTCTATGGCGGAGCAACTATTTTGTTCCAACTCCTAAGCTGTCTGTCTGTGACTTCAAGTAGCCACATGTTTTTTCTGATGATAAAAAAAACTGTGTTCAAAATATTGAAAAACAAAGAAAAGTATGAAAATAAAAGCATTCACCACTCCTCAAGGTACCCAAAGATAACCATAGTCTATGTGGGAGTGGGAGTGGGAGGTTGCTCTCTCTGAGGCTTCTCCTTCCCACCCTGATCCCTTGAGGTGGGCAGTGGACACCTTTGTACCTAGTTTGTTTTCTGTTATCAGAGAGGTCCCAAGCCAGTTACACAGCTGCCCCAGTGCTTTCCAGAGCTCTGTGCTTGTTTAGGCTGGAAGCCCTATGGCTCTGCACAGGGCACGTGAACGAGTCCTGTGGGAGCCCAGTCAGAGGTGTCATCATGGCAGGTCCCGGTGGGCCTCCCCCCAGAGCACTCAGGGTCCCAGTTCTTCCTTCCTTCGGGATGTGTGCACTCCCAGGAAGCATCTGAGACTCCTACAACGATTAAGTGTGTCCTGACAACACCACCACTCTTCCAGATGTAACCAGACCTGTTTCAACAGAATGTGTAGACATGGCCCAAATTCAAGATCTAAACATAAACACATACACATACTTTTAAAATATTAAATTAGGAATATGCTCAATATATAGGTTTCACCCCTGTCTTTTATATTTAACTTACGATGAATATTTTCCCATATCATGAAACTACTTTCAGAAATATGATTATAAATAGCTTCACAAGAGGTCACCCTATGGGTATTACATTACCCAGTCCCCTGTAGTCGGTTGCTTAGATTGCTCCAGTTTTGCACTGTAAAATAAAGACAGTAATAAACATTTGTGTACACTAGTCTTTTACCATATCTACTTTTTCTTCAAGATAAATTCCTAGAAATGGAATTAAATCAAATATCAAAGATTATTAATAATTGAAGTTTTTTTCATATTTGATAACCTTTTTTACTCTAATGTACTGGCCATTAACTTATTTATCCTCATAAAACTCTTGTTCAAGGCCAAAAAGTCAGCAGCAAGGCCCAGACAAGAACCAGGCCCCCCCAGGCCCCAATCCTATGCTCTTTCCATCAAATCCCATGGCCTCTAAATGGTCAGGGCCTGATCTAGAATCCCCACTCTTGAACAAAGAAACACTTTTTTAAACCATGGAATGGTGTCACTGAGTTAATGTATGCACTAGTGACAGAGAATCAAGCCTTCTTCTCTAAGGAAGAACTGTCACGGACATGATCCAGCCAAGATCTCAGGAAGATGGAAAATCATTCTAGAGATACATGAAAGCAGAAAGGATCCTAGTTACACACAGAGCCTTCTCACTGAAATAATCTGTGACATTGTAAATTAAGTTCCTAAGAGTTCCCATAAAAATTGTTACTTTAAGAATAGGTTATGCCTTCTAAAGTTACTTAAAACTACCTAAAATTTGAGGAAATTTTTGTATTAAGCATCTGTCACATAATAATCTTTTATATAGAAACTTTGCATCTTCTAGTTGATGTTTTATTTAAACTAAATACAACCTGTTTAAAATACTCACAAATAATGGAAATAATTCCACTAATTATAGCAGGATGACCCCAAAAGTTAACATGGACAGCAATGGAGGAAAAGAGTAAACGCAACACTGTTTAAATTGCAAGGGTTTAGTACAGCAAAGTGTCACACACTTGGTTAAAGAGCCTGAAACTCGTTTGACAGGCAAAACCCAAACCTTCTGGCAGCATCAAGTGTTGGAGGGGACATGGGGAAAGGGAAGACATGCCCTCCTGGCAGTAAATTGGCAAGCCTGAGAGGGCAGCTCTCTCGGGCACGCCGAGCAGGCGCGCCCAAACACCCACAGATTAGCATTCTCTGCTGCCTGATTAGGCAGATGAGGGATTTGCTGAAGATCATCCTCCCAAGGCAGTCCAGCCTTGGCCTTGGCCAATCACGTTGGAGGGGGGCACATGCCAGAGGGAAAGCCCCCAACCCCTGTAGGCCGCCAGAGGGGGAGGTGCTAGAGGTGCTGGAGCATTGAGCACTGTGCCTGGGCAGCGGGGGTCGCAGCCAGGAAGGCAGGAGCATTCGCTCTGGGCTCCACACGGAGGGTGCAAAGGAGAACCCAAGGCACACCCACGTGCAGCGGGAGTGTCAGAGAGACCAAGCGGGATGAGGTGAGAGATTTGCCTAAAGTAACCCTGCGATGGGGCAGTGGGTGGAGCACACGAGCCAGGCTGGCCCCGCTGCAGGGGGACTGGCAACCTAGGAGAGGGGACACTGTGCCAGATGAGCAAGAGAACTCTACATATTTGAATGCTGCCAATGTTGAACAAAGATTAACAGACTTGGATTTAAAAAAAACCTAGGAGCAGGTACTGTGCACTCCTCCTAGTCTCTCCACTTCTACATACTTCTGAAATTTCCATAAAAACAAGTAGAAAAAAAAAAGTTGAAGGACACAAGCAAAGTGCTCCCACACCCCACCCAAAGCCACTCTAAGCCTAGGCCAGAGGCTCAGAGAGTGGTTCATGCACAGGTCTCCAAGCCCTGCAGGAGGCCTGCAGGGCCAAAACTGTTTCCCAGTGCTCTTAAGACACCATCTGCCCTTTTCACTGCATTAACATCTACCCTGATGCCTCAGAGCAGGAGAGAGTAAGACTGCTGGCTTCTCCCCACCATCTGAAGGCCAGGGCGCCAAACCTCACCTGGGTTACAGTTCACTACAGGAAAACCATACCAGGGACTCTTCATATCCATGACAACACAATAAAATTATTAATTTTATTACATCTAGACCCCTGAATACCCTTCAGTATTCTGAGCGAGAGCCTAGTAAGTCCACAGGCAGCAGTCTGCCTTGGTGGTGGCTGGGGGGGCAGCTGGGCGGGCAGTGGGCACCACTAGTAGCTCCTTCCCTGGTTCACCCCCTCTACTCAAAACAACAGATGATAATGTTGCTTATTCAGACTTGAGTTTTTAGCAGACATTTTCTCAAAAATTAATGAAGTGAGACTATCACTTCAAGGAAAATAACTGATAGTGTTTGCTGCCAAAGACAAAATTTGAGCTTTGGAATGAAAACTGAAATTTTAGAAAACTTCTATCCACTACCTATGAATGACCATCACAACTTCACATCCTGTAAACCTGGTGAACCTATGTATTCCAAGTGACCAGTGCAAGATGTCACAAAATCATACGTGAGTATAAAAGACTCAAAGTACAAGACAGGCCAACTCCGGTCACTGGGGTTTCAGGTTTCACACAGCAATTAACTTGAGAAACGACCACTTGTTTTGTAGTAGCAAAGAACAGCCACAATCATTTTAAAAGATTATTACAATACACCTACCTTTCCCAAATGGGTTTTATTCATGTACTTCCACAGCAACAGACTGCAAAGCACTGAATGCAGACGCGGGTATGAGTACAAAGCTATCTTCTAAGACAGACATTACAAAAGTTAGCCAAAAAAACAGTGTCACTCCTCTTACTAATTTTGGGGGCTTGGGAAAACATGTTTATTTTTTAATTAAAAAGTTGTTATTTATGGTAATGTAATGGATTTATTAATTTCAATGAATTGATAAATATTTTTAATTTACCAGTTTTACAAAGATCCTGGCGCTGTTGCAGTTGTAGCTACAGTCATCCCACCGGTTTCTGGACTTGCCATTGGAATGCAAAAGGAGATACCTAAGCTGGCCTGTGCATACAGTAAAACAACAAATTTGACTGGATCTATATTGTCGAAACTCAACCAAGAATTAGGAGAAGTGCAAGTTGCAGTGCTCCAAAATCGTGTGACTATAGACTATCTACTGTTAAAAGAATATATGGGATGTGAACAATTCCCAGGAATGTGTTGTTTTAATTTGTCTGATTTTTCTCAAACTATTCAAATTCAGTTAGACAATATCCATCATATTATTGATAAGTTTTCACAAAT